TCCCTTATTTCAGTACTGACCAAGTTTGATACTGTCTATATTTACAGAGGTTGTATGCTTGATGAATAGTTAAGGGGATCAATGAGAACCAAACACTCTCAGGCTGAGTTTGGGCCAGCCATATTTCTCAGTCCTGTCTACCTAGGTTGATATTGTGTAATGAAATGTAGGAAAGTCCCCAAGGAGAAAAGGTGTTGCAAAAAAAAAAGAAGTGATTCTCCCTTCTGTATTTTAACTCTCAGGATGAATTAGATGCTAAAAAATGTTCAAGCAAGGAACAAGAGCTCCTCTCTGTTTTAAATGTTCCAGGTAACTCTAAAAGATGCCGTTGCATTATTGCCAGAAGTGCCCTGCATCTCACCTGAGAGGATTCAAGAATACAGTACAGAGTCTGGGATTATTGTCTTGACTAACAGCACTGCTGTCCTTGATCCTGGCCCAGTTATGCAGCCTCTGAGCAGAAGATAGCATTGGGACCACACCATCTTGAAGAATAACACAATGAAAGTGTGGGAGAAAAGACAATGGTTTCCTTGGAGTAATGAGATCAGCTGAACCCAGGGAGACATAGGTTCTTGGACCTTACAAGATAGACATGAAGAAGGGATGAAATGACTGAAGGGCCAACTCATATAGGAACATTAAATTAAATGTTTTCCTAGGGTTTCAAATCAAACTGAGTGCCAAATTTGAAGGGAAAAAAAAGATTCAACATTTAAAAAAATTAAAACATCCAACATTTATTTATTTATTAAAAATGTGCCCCCATTGGAGCACAGTGCCGACATTAATTCACTTAACTGCTGGCCTTTATGTTTTCTATCTGTGTACTCAGAACCTTGGCTTACTTTACTGGCCCAAACATCTGAACCTTTGTCAGTTTTCTTTGTGTCTTTCCTGTCCAGGAGGATCCTTTTTTCAAACTGAAATATAGGATTGGATCCAAGAAGAAGAATCTTTCAAGGGAAGCATTATTCTCTGTCCCTCCAGACTGAAAGCATTGCCTTGACCATATTGTTCTTTCTCCCATCATATTTCTCTCTTTTCCAATCTTAGGGTGGGTTCCTTCCTTCCTTCCTTCCTTCCTTCCTTCCTTCCTTCCTTCCTTCCTTCCTTCCTTCCTTCCTTCCTTCCTTCCATCTTTCTATGGGCCAGGAGCAACATTTAATTTTAACTTTCCTAGAGTTGAGCTAGTTATCTTGTCAGTGCTGGGGATATTTGTTTACAATAAACTATGATTAGTTTACTAACCCAGTTTCAGAATATTTAATTTGGGAAACATCTCAAGAAAATATTTAGGTTAACTGAAAAGGTCATCAGGAATGGCATAGGCAGAAGAGCTGGCAGGCAATGATCAGATAAAATGGTTTTGAATCTGGAGCAAGAATTAATGTGAAGTATAGTAGTAAAGGACTCAAACAAGTCTCTCCCTACTTCAGATGAAGATTAAAGGGCAAGAAGAATATTTAGACTTGCAAAATTCTTTAATTGTACTTTGCAGGTATTTATTTATAGTACATGGCATTGGTTTTTAGCCTGCTCTAACTTGAAGGGCTGACATAAACTATGGGGTTTATAACATCTTACTCCAGACTGCCCAGCAGAAGGAATGGGAAGTGGTCTTACCGTATGTCAGCCCAAGGTTCATAATTAGAAAAGTGAATGGGTGGAGTTTTAGCATTATATGCAAATATTTCCAACCTAGCCAAGAGAAATAATGTCTTCTTTCCAGCATGGCAGATTTGCAACTTAAAGAACAAATTTGATTTAAGATTTGTAATAAGAACTTAACATCAATAAATTATACTAGATTGATGATTAGTAGTATTATTTATATGCAATATTTTTGTACTTCTTATAATGCTGCTGTCTGCACTACTGGGATTAATTATTTTCATAATTTTGTCTAAGTAGTAATATAGAAAATGTCAAAAAGAAAATTAGATTTTCATTTTCCAGACGTAGAAATTTAATTAAAGCCAACTCATAGTCAAAGGAGAGCATCCTTCATTGATTCTGTGATGCACCAATGATGCCATGCAAGAGACCAGAAGATCAAAAAGCAGATCCTGGAATATTAATAAAGAACGTGCAAGTCTGTGTTTGCAGTTTTGAAACTCCCTGGAGTTTGTCTATTTGAAATAGACTATAGGAGAAAAATGCATGGAAATGATTTTCTCAGTGCAATAATATTCCTGTTCATAAAAGGTTTCTAGCTATGAAATGGATAACTGAGCAATCTATTGGAAGCCCCTCAGAGTTACTTAGAAGAGTGAGATAGGTGGCATATTAATTTTATAAACAAGCATATAATCGGAATGAAGTTGAAATGCTTCTCACTCCCACCTAAGATTCCAAATTAATCTCAGCTTCAAGAATTGAAAAGTCCCAATAAGATTTTTAAATTATGCACTCTGCCATGTTGATGAAAGAAAGTTTGCTTCTGAAACCAAATTCTCTGGTACACTTTTGGAATGAATGGGTTGTACTTTACAAACTTGGGGGAAGAATGAATTTGGCCAAAGTTTATTAAACAGGATCTAGAGGGCTTTAAACAGAACCCAATTTGAATTGGGACAGAAACTCTGAATAGACTTGCACACTACAGGAATAAATGAGAGACTAATATACTTGGACTATTAAACCAATCAATTAAAAATTGGGAATTACATTGGCTCATAAAATTCATGGACTTTCCTATATATAATACTCAAAGTATAGATGAGCTCAAGCTGTTTTCACACCAAGGCAAATGATTTAATAAGTATAGCCAAGACCACAATTACCTTGGCTGTAGTATAGTATCTCATAAAATTTGTTCAAATGAAAAAGCAAGAAGAAGGGATGAGGAGTTTCATTAGGTATGAATTTTTAAATTACAATGATGGGTTTAAAATCATGGAAATAATAGGACCAACCCAACCACCATGTGAAAGAATGTTCCTAAATTTTTCCTGAACAGTGAGTCAATTACAGCCAATTCTTACTAAACATTAAGGTCATGAAAAGTATTAGAAAGAAGGACTTCAGAATATGTAGGAAATAAATGCAATAACCCTGCTTTTGGACTATTAAAGTATATTCCGTAAGATTTGTATGACTGCTGCTCCTGCTACCTGTAATATTAACTGACCTTATGGATTTCTGATAAAGACTACAACTACAACTCGTTAATATCCTTGATGTCGTTGTGTATGTCTCTGTGTCTGCATGCATGCCTTGAGATTTTGACTCTTGATGTGCACCTGGACATGTCCCTGTAGTTTTCTTGACAAGATTTTGGAAGCAGTTTGCTACTGCTTCCTTCTTAAGGCTGAGAGAAGGAGAGTGATCCAAGGTCATCCAACTGGCTTGTCCTAATGCAAGACTAGAACTCACATAACTATCATTTCAAACTTGTTTTCTGCAAAAGTAGACACACAAAGATCTTAATGTGTAAATCCTTTAAAACAGTGTTTCTCAACCTTGGCAAATTTCAGATGTGTGGTTTCATACTGGCTGGGGAATTCTGGAAGGCGAAGCCCACACAACCTAAGTTACTAAGGCTAAGAAACACTGCTGTAAAACATATGGCTTTCATCAAGTCCCAGTGGTGTTCTTACAACTCTTTAAAACCTTTGTTCCTTTTTTGTGGCAATTTCAACAGTGACTACTGGTAATGGTAACTTGGATTATGTATTAAAATAGTCATGAATATCTCTAGGTACAATCCCCTCCCCCTTCATTTTGCAATTTTCATATGAATGCTTTCTTCTCAGAGCTCTTTGGAACATGTCACAAAATATGATTTACCATGTAAGAATAATAGGATGCAAAGTCCCGCCCACCCTCAAACGCCCGTAGCAACATAAGGGCTTGCATTCCCTGCCCCCCCTCTTTTCTTAGCATTTCCATCTTACATCAGGTTTATATTCCCTTGTGGGCTGTAATCCCGTATTATTATCCTATTTTTGCATAATGGGGTAGGGTTTACATTAAAAAAATGCTGCATATCTTTCTACAAAACTCATTTTTAGCTGAAAATTTCAGTACCCTTACCAGTGAGATAACTATAAATCGGCTTTCATGCATATGCAAGTCTATCCTTCTAAGCACTGTATTAATTATTTCAAAGATATTTAGAGGTCAGGAGTGACAGAATCTCTATGCATAGAATCACATTAATATAGGATACTATAAGAAAAATGGAATAAATCGGTGTACCATAGCACAAGATCAGAGTATCCGAAGTGCTTTTCCTTAAAAGAAAAGAAAAGCAAATACCAGACCAGCTTCTATCTACAAATATTTGGTGCCAATCCAGATTTAAAATGGAATCATAACTCTGCTATAGACCCACCTGAATACTTATTTTAAAATGTATTTATTTATTTGACTAATACAGCCACCCATCTGACTTTTATGTGATTCTAGGCAGCTTAAAGTTGCTGTTTAACCAAATCCAAACCTCAATTTGTATTCTCAAGTTAAAATGATTGGATGTCGTATTTTCTGTTTTGTGTAGAGTGCAAAGTACATGTTATGTATGTAGGAAAGCCCAGGTTCAAGCTTGTTACTTCTTGTCAAAAAGGACAGTGTAAGAGATGCTATAAAGACTTTTTTCTGTCTATAAAAAACAACTCTAGCTGTAGTAATGATGGAAAACTGCTCTGATCTTAGGCACAATCAGTCAAACAGAAGGCTGTAGGAAAATGAGAAAAATTAAGAGCCGAGGTGGCGCAGCAGTTAAGAGTGCAGTACTGCAGGCCACTTTAGCTGACTGTGTTCAGCAGGTCAGTGGTTCAAATCTCACCGGCTCAAGGTTGACTCAGCCTTCCATCCTTCCGGGGTAGGTAAAATGAGGACCCAGATTGTTGGAGGCAATGTAAATATATATATACATTGCTTACTGGTGTACACCGCTTAAAGAGTGCTTGCACTTAAAGCGATATATAAGTCTCATAAAAATAAATAAATCAATCAATAAATCAATAAATAAATATAGAACAGTAAAACGGAGAAGGAAAAATAGGCAGGAACATACAGTCAGCAATTACAGAGGGGGCAGGTTCAACATTATATATTGATGAAAATCAAATGAATGTTCACCTTCTATATCTCTTTTATGTGTAAGAATCCTTTTGTTGAATTCTATTAGTATGGAATATATTAGTCCCTTAAATGACTCTGCATCTTTGATGACATGCAGATGAATCTGTTGAGTTCTACTACATTTTCTAACTTCTCCATTCTTTGCAATAGCTTTCTTACATTTTAATATGCATAATTTTGGGCCCTTTTTAAATTATATAAAATGGTGATTTCATATACGAGTATGCATCAATATTTAAAAAATTGAAAGTGGATAAACAATTATTAAAACAAAAACCAAATGTACATCTTATTTATCCCTAAATACAGTTAAAACCATCCAATAAAGTATGATGCATTTGTTTTGACCTTCAGAATGATATAATCAAAGCTTTGTTGTGTGTGTGTTTGTGTTCTTTAATTTCAGCAGTACAATCCCTAGATAATTTCAGAAGCAGAAAGTCAAATGTTAATGAAAACTGCCGTCTATGATCATTATGCTTCATAAATTTGTCAAAACAACAACAGAATCAACAGTGCTAATTTGCACATTTAAGCAAACTAAACAGTGTGAATGGGAAAACTACATTTTCTCCTGTAGCGTGAAGGTTTTTGAATGCCTGAAGACTACTGAAAGATAATCACCTTCATCATGTTCTGGACAAACCTTACTGACACAATATTCAAGGACTTTACTTGAACTGAAGTACATGTAGCTTTAATGCAAAACAATTAAATAAAGGAACTCTTAGAACTAGCGAAGTTATAATTCTAGGAAATGATTTCATGACTATTAATACCATATGTAAAACAATGCACTTTGGGCCACATTTAAAAATCAAGAGAACGTTTCTTTTCTCTATAAATCTATTTCAGAAAATAAGCAACTTTGCAGCTTTAAAGAGGATTACATTTTGTCTTCTTTTTTTCTTTGTTGCCTCATCAGAAAAGTTTTTCTCTCAACTGTGGATTTTTGATTGCATGTACCTTCATTTTTTAAAACTTAGTTAATCAGAAGAGATGTTTTAATCAAAAAATGTTTTGGATTATTAAGCTGAATTTAATTCAGAACTGAATTAACTAGGAAAGATGAAGTTATTGAATGAAGTTTAGCTTCCTGTAGCTGACTCAGAACAAGAAAAGTGGAATCATTTATCATTTCTCTCTCTAATTCCATGTCTAGCACTTTTAAGATATTACAATTTAACACTTTTTGATGATGAAATTTTAGACCAAACCATGTAGATATGTACTTATAAAAAAACACCCTTCATGACTGAATTCCAATATGGCAAAGAACAGCAGAAAATACTAAGAGAAAACATTATTCAAAACTATTAATTTATCTTCAATACATGATAGACGAGTATTTGTTTTTTAAGTCAGTAATTTCCTTCCACTGTTTGCAAAGTAATTTATGAAGTATTTTTATTACTTTACAAACTAATAAAAAAGCACTAGTGAGCAACTTACCCACACATGGCAATGAATATCCAAAGATAGGATCATGGACAAACTGGCGATTGTTCAACATGGTTACACAGTAGAGATGAAAACAATCCAGGCAAATGACGTGGTGATGAATGCATGGGAAGACTAACACAGGACTCCTAAAGAGAGAAATAAAAAAAAACTGGTGAGAAATTAAGCTTCCTATATTATTACACAAATGTGGTGTCTGCTTCATGCAAATAATATTCAGACTATACTCTGTGAGCTTAATTTTAAAATGAGATACACCTCCACAGCAGTGCTTAAGAGCCTGTGAAACTTGGAGAAAAAGGAAGTGAGTGCCATTGCACAATGCCACTGCTTATTTACAAAATGCCTACCTGACACAAAGACAAACTGGTCAAACTAAACGATGAATAACTGTTTCTGTGAACAAGCATACCAAGCAGAGACAGGGTCTGAATGCTAGAATAAGAGCCCCTATAACCCCGCATATTTCTGCCTACACCAAAAAATACTACTCTGAAAATATTGTATGATCCTAATGTCTTTAATAGTAAGAGAATGACTAACTCTTAATTACTCGAATATTAGTAACCATAATTCACCAAAATCACCTCTGCTGGATAATTAGTCCAGCAAATTTGTCTCTGCCAATGAATAGGAAGATCAGCTCTGAGCACACATGCAAGGGCAGTGAATGACCATGAGTTGCCCAGAGGTGCTTAAGATGGGTGGCCATGTACATCTTTTAAATAAATAAGTGACACAAATCTACTAAAGATACAGAACTATTTATGTCACACAAAACAACCCTGTCTTTCAAGATTAACCACACCATCAGTACTCCTAAATATTTCCTTCTTATAAAACTATCCAGTTCACATATCCTGAAAGCTTTAAAAAAAATGCTGTGCTCTCCCGCAGCTGCTTTTGGTGCCCAGTTTGAAAAGCCCTAGCCTAAGGTAATTTCAAACTATATCTGAGGACAACAATATCTTGTTATGCCGTGCAAACTAGGAGAGGACCACGTCAATGGGGCACCATGGAGGAAATAAACTGTTCAGAGGTATGTTAGCACAATCGTCTTTCCAAAGCTCATGTAATTGGAAAACCTACTTTTAAACAGGTATGGTCATACAAAGCAGAGTGGTTTAACAAGTAGGTAAAATGCCATGGTTCCCCTACATCTGTCTTTGAGAGTTTCAGAGATACAGTGTCTGTTATCTGCTATCATGCTATCTGCGATCTACAATGTCTGCTATACTGTTATCATGTCACCCCTAGTCCTTCTTTTCTCCAGACTGTCCATAAACAATTCCTGTGACCATTCTTCATATGTTTTTGTCTCCAGGTTCTTAATCATCTTAGTTGCTCTTCTTTGCACTTTTTTTTTCAAAAGTCTCAACATCTTTTTTGTAATATGGTGACCAAAACTGAATGCAGTATTCCAGGTGTGGCCTTATTAAGACTTTATAAAACGGTATTAATGAGATTTGCCATTCACCCAAGAATGGAAAATGTAGTGAGAAGAAACATGAAGGTAGAGGATAAGCAAGATTGATTTGTAAGGAGGTTCTTGTTTTGGGGGGAAAGGAAATATTTCCTGTACATTTCCACACTGTGTTCAAAACACTTTTCCATGCTGAAAAGTTAACCTTGGCAACTTCATTGCATCCTGAATTCAATACATTTTTTCTTGCTGTGTGGCGGTGTAAGATAACATAAATTAAATGTTACATTCTTAAAGAAATAAAAAGGGGGAAAAGGGCAGGCAGACAGATTAATGAAAGAACCCCCCATAAATCCTGAAATAACAAAATGTCTCATTTAAGATTGCTTCAAAAGCTTCAAATTGGATACACAATTCCTGTTTCCCCCTTTCTGCCCCTATTAATGTCTACAATTTCTTAAATATTTTAAGACTACCATTTAACTCTTTGCAAATCTGTTAAAATCTCCTATCTAATCTCAGAGTATTAGGCTGCATGCGACTGATATACAGTACATGAACTATAATATTCCATAGTTTTGCATATACAAGTGCATAATCTTCTTTCAAAATAAGCTTTAAAAATGCATCTACTGCTGGAGACATCAAGATAGTGTGTTGGTAGCATTAAAAACATAATCTCAGTGTTTTAAGGGATTTCAGTGACTAAAGCAGCTTACAAACTGAATTAAACAAAACCTCTCTGCTGCTAATCCTTATTAGTTGACCACTTGCTGTTCTGAAATCTAACCACCCCTTGAACAAAAATAATCTAAAAAGAGAAATGGGAATTGGGTGGGATGAGTTAAAACAGCCTTTCCTTTAATGTACTAAAACACATTAGATGTATCGTTCTTTTTTCTATAAAATAGTTGAACAAGAATTATTTTACAGTTTGGAAAAATTCAGATCTGAAGTTGTGTTAAATTAGCTGATGGAAACCGTGCCTCCTAACAATGCAAAAAGCAATTAATTTCAATTCCTCTGAAAAAACTAAACTTTCCGAGCAATCTCACTTCTTTTTCAGACACTATGGCAATATTGTATAAAAAGTTCAATAATGATTTAAAAGTAAACAATAAATTATGGAACATATGGATCATTCTCTTGGCAAGTTATGTAAATTGTCAATACTACGAGAAAACATCTAATATTGCATTTCTTAATAGAACCCTTTTATAAGTAATGCTGCATAAAACGTTTGTCTTGAGGTTACAGGTACGTAGAACAAGCTTTCGATATACTATTTAAGGATTTATTCAAATATTAGAAAAAATAAATAACATTTTGAAATATTTTATTTTTAAAAAACAAAGGAATAATATCAATAAACGGAGAGACAGTGACTGAAGTTATACAATTATGGCTCAATATAACATGTATAAAAGATAAGCCATACCAAGCAAAGTACATTTAGTTGTTTTTAGGATATTAAAAAGAAGTATAAATGTTTGGGCTTAATATCTTCATTATATTAAAAGAGTTCACCCCCATCTTGTCTACACATTCATTCTTTTTATCCATTTTAATATTAATTTTAATGTTTTAACTTTTAATATCCAATGTTTTAATGTAATGTAATTCTGTAATTGTTTTATCCTGTTATTTATGGTACTGTAAATTGCCTAGAGTTACTTGCCAGAGAGATGGGTGGTATACAAATTTAATAAATAAATAAACAAACTATTATTTTTAAATGTAAAAAAAGGGAAAAAACATTCCTAAAAATAGTGTTGGTAAATATTTAATTCCTGAATTTCCCATTTTATTTTATCTCAATTTATTTATTTACTTCTGTTTATATGTTGCTCTATTTACGGTATTGACTTTCATTTATATGCTGTTCCATTTCCAAAGACTTGTAACTTTGAAATACTGGTAAAAGTAGGATTAAGTATTAATAGCAAATTCCAGTCATCAAAAAAAAAAAAAAAAAGTTATAGCTAACCATATGTACCACCATTCAGGAGTACTACAATTTTTGTTCATCTCTGTTCACAGCTTTAATAGGGAAGGCTATTTCAAAGCCTTCACGAAGTAGGTTCAATCACAGGGACCCTGCAGAGGGCAATTCCTTGGTGACCGGACTATCAGCAGGCTTCCTCTCATTGATCTCACCAAGCAGACAGTTGCAACTCAGAGATATACAGCCCTTGAGCCAAGTAGGGCAATAACATACTTGAAATGTACCTTAAGCTGACCGGCAGCCAAACACATCTCTCATGGTAGAGGTATTGCAGAGCAAATGTCAATATGCTCATAAGTATCTGCTGAATCAGATGAAGGTTCTGAGTGACCTTCAAAGGGACCCTGACATACAGTGATTGATAATAGGGTGAGAAAGGAAAGGGTGCCCAAGGGCAGTGCCTCTTATTCCAGAAATGTCTCAACTAGCACACAACAGGTAATTTTGAGCCCAGGAGGACCCATAGTTTGTCAGTTTATAATCAGGTCTCTCCATAATTTTTTTCATGAAGCAACTGGACTTTCTTGTTTTTCTCTAAAGACGTTTCGCTTCTCATCCAAGAAGCTTCTTCAGCTCTGAGTGGATGGCAGGGAATGGAAAGATTTATACTCCTTTGCAGACAGATGGCCATTTGTATTCTTTTAGAGAGTCATTGAGGCCATCTGGAGGTTTATCTATGTCATCAGGCTCACCTGAGTAGTGCAAATGGGCGTGGAGCCTTCTTGGAACTGTTGAAAGGACTGTGTTATAGACTGGAGATAGATGATGTCGTATTCCTCCCCCTCTCTTGAGAGAGGGCTGTTCAATTTTGACATAGATGGACTCTTTGAAACCTCTTTCAAACCAGCGGTCCTCTCTGTCCAAAATGTGGACTTTGCTGTCTTCAAAAGAGTGGCCTTTGCCTTTTAAATGCAGATGGACTGCTGCACTCTTTGAAGCAAAAAGTCTTCAAAGAAAAACAAGAAAGTCCAGTTGCCTTGTGAAAAAGCATGTTTGGGACAACTATGACCTGGATGACTGAGAATCTACATAGATACTCTCTCCATAACAGCACAATCTTTTGGGAATAACAAATGGATTACTTTCCTGGGTTAGGTAGCTTTCTAACCTGCAGCCATTGACGTGATGGGATTCAATCTAGGCCTGTTTTACCATCCATCCTGCCTGGCTCAGGATAGCGATATATAACTGGTAACATCTGCACATTGAATATATCATATCTCATGGTCTGCTATGACCTTTGGATGCCATAGAAGCACATATACTATATAATATACACTAGAGGTGGCGCAGCAGTTAGAGTGCAGTACTGCAGGCCACTTTAGCTGACTGTGTTCAGCAGGTCAGCGGTTCAAATCTCACTGGCTCAAGGTTGACTCAGCCTTCCATCCTTCCGGGGTAGGTAAAATGAGGACCCAGATTGTTGGGGGCAATGTAAATATATATATATATATATATATATATATATATATATATATATATATACATTGCTTACTGGTGTACACCGCTTAGAGAGTGCTTGCACTTAAAAGCGGTATATAAGTCTCATAAAATAAATAAATAAATAAATAGATAAGATAAGATAACCTTTATTGTCATTTTTTTTTACTGTGGGCACAACGGCACATATCAAAAATGAAATTTAATTGCCTGCTCTCAAAGTGAAACACATACATGACACACACCTAAAACATACTATG